GCTTCACTTAATACACATTGACTGCATGAAAATTTTGAAATTTTCCAGGAACTGTGACATCTAAAACTTAGCCCATACATAAGCCACATGCCTATGGCGGCGAATTACGTGAGTAATCTTAACATCCACTGTAAATCACATTTCTAAGGCTAAGTATAACTGCTTCACACAGAGAATTTTATGTATATGAAGAAAATGAAGAGCTGAGCTGTGTCTGAAATCATGTTTTTGATCAGACTGAATCACAATTGTGAGCCTTTGGAAAGAATGAGAAGAATCACCCCTCACCAGAAGGGACTGCAGGACTCCAGTGCAGTTTCCTAATCCCTAACCCCCAAGGTGCTCAGACTCCTTGTGCTCAGCACAGGCTCAGAAGCAATGGAGCCAATGGCCCATGAACTGCAAAGTATGTATTCTATAAAGCTAAGTTAGTTCATCTTTGAAGGCAGTTAGAATGCAACTGTGATGATGATGGCCGTGTGTGTGTGTGTGTGTGTGTGTGTGTGTGTGTGTGTGTGTGTGTGTTGGGGAAACAGGTATTGACACTTTCACAGTATAGCTCACCTGCACAGAACACACAACTTAATGTCTTTGTACCTAATACTACAATTTACTGGTGAGACTGGGGCATGACTCAGTCTGTAAAATGCTTGTCTTGGAATCACAAAGACCTAGTTTGATCTCCAAACCTTATGTTAAAAACCTGCCTGGTATGGCAGTGAGCACTAGTAACCCTAGTGCTGGGAAGAAGGCTCGGGTGCATCCCTGAAGCTTGCTAGTCCGCCAGTCTAGTTCATTGGTGAATTCCAATATATTCAGAGAGTATACATCAAGGAAAAGGTGGACAACACCCAGGGAATAACATCCCATGTTGTCCCCTGGCCTCTATGTACACATGTTACATGTACAAATATACACATATACTAGTGCACCCACACAGGGACGGGACACACACACAGACATATTCTCTCTCTCTCTCTCTCTCTCTCTCTCTCTCTCTCTCTCTCCCTCTCCCTCTCCCGCTTCCGCTCCCCCTCCTTTCCCCTCTCCCTTCCCCCCCCCTCTCTCTCTCACACACACACACACACACACACACACACATCTATTGTCAAATTGAAATGTTTTTGAGAATAGAAGGTAACTACTCTTAACAATAGCTCTGAAGAGGTGTATTTTAGACAAACAGAGGTAATGACCCCTATATCTAAATTTTTAAGTTGAAAATGAATAAACATAGAAAAACTAAATTTACAAATTACATCTGTAGGAGCTGGATGATGGATCAGTGGTGAAGAGCACTTGCTGATCTTGCAAAGGACCTAGGTTGCATTCTCAGCACTCATATAAGGCAGCTCACAAATGCCTGTAACTCCAGTTCTAGGAACTCTGACATCGTCTTCTGGCTTCTAGGAGCACCAGGCACCCACAAGACACAGACATACATGCAAGAAACATACCCATAAACATAAAATTATGAATTATTCACCTGAAATTCACATTCAGGAGGTAAGTGAGCTGGGAGTCAAAGCCCCAAAGGCAATATAGAATTAGACATTTTAACTTGGTGACCAAACAGCCTAGATTGAACTCCCAACACTGACACCTGAGTAGTCAACAGCTGACCTTTGCCACGGCACTTAGACATCATGTCCATACTTCTCTGAGTTTTAGATTGCTTAACTATCCACCTAAAAATCAAGCTAGAGCCCTAATTTGAGTTTTAAGACTTTTTTTCCTCTTATGTGTATGTGTGTGGGCCCGAGTATGTGCACCATATAATTTTTTAGTATAAGTGTATCTCATGCAATATCCATGTCAAGGTTTACTCTCTTGAGTTGCCAAAACAACTCACACACATACTGTATGCATATGATTGTGTGTGTGCACCTCTACACATTGACCATATCGCTACAGAATCTGCTGAAGTGGCCTAGCTCTCTGTGTTGCTCTTGAGATGTTATCTCAGCGAGCCCATCATTTGCACCCGGGCTCAACAGCACCTTCCCTCCCAGCTGTGCTACAGATGCTCAGTCAGCGAAGGCTCGAATCCACCTGTGATTTTCTTTTTGAATAGCCACAAGAATATTGAAGACACAAAGAGTGGTCCTATAAATATTTAAAAATAGATTCATTAACTCTAATTGGGCTAGATTTGAAGTCCAGTGAGGGTATGTGTTTTTTGCTTTTGTTTTTTTGTCAATTGAAGTGGAAATTTCTGGTTTCTTTGTAAACTCAGGTGTATCACATGATGTTTTTCTGGAAGCTGCCTTGTGAGAGGATGTTTTGCTGAAGCAGACATTGAGAAGGCTTGTGATGTCTTGCTGGAGTGGATGCTTGAGAGGTTGCATGATGTTTGGAAAGAGTACAAATGAAACCCCATAAACACCGAGAGGTCACTTGCATGCAACACTTTGCTGGTCTTCGCTGGTCTCGCTTCTTCACTGCGCTTCACTTCATAAAGAGAGACATGCCAACGAATTCCACGTGGTATTCCAGCTGTCTTGATGCTTCCACTGACTCGTGCCGATTCAGGGAGACTTGCTATTTCTGCTGCATTCAGAGCTGCTGCTACTGATTCCTGTTTGGTGTTTGCTGTTGAACTGGACTGCTGGTATCCTGACAATGAAGACTAGAATCATCCCCCCAAAGAACTGTTTCTGAACAGGTCCACAATCCACCTTTTTCTATAAACCTTCTTTTGCCCCCTACCTCTGCTTGGTGGGCTAGAAGGGAGGTTGAAGTTTTCTAGAATCCTAAATAAAGTAGGTTTAGAAAAATCTAAGCCTACAGTCTGTGTTTTAGAAAAAACAAACAAACAAACAAACAAACAAACAACAACAACAACAAAAACAAAGGACTCTACTGTGGAACTATGGTGTTTTTTTCATATGGACGAAATCCAGTGGTTTTAGAGACTTTCAAGGAGAAACTGGAGGACTTGTCATTAACTTAAACAGGAAACAACTTTAAGGAGTGGTCCTAGTTTGCTTTTGCCTTGATAAAACACTGACCAAAAGCAACTTGGGGAGGAAAGGGTTTATTTCTGCATCTAGGCAATTGTTCATTTTATTTTTTTACTTTTGAAAAAAAAAAAACTTGTGTATTGATTCTTTGTTAGTTTCACATCAGACAACCCTGTCTCACTCATCTCTCCATCCCCTGTCCCCCCATATCCATCCTTCGCCCTTGTATTCCCCCCAATAAAAAAACATACAAATAACTGCAAAAACAACAAAAACAAAGCATAGAAAACATCTCATCCTGGAAGCTGTAGTGTGTCTCAGTGTGTCCCACGGTATGTCCCTCTGTCCACACATCTTCACTAGCGAATGTTCATTGCAAAGAGTCACTAGTCTGATTCGAGATCTCTGGCTTCTGTAACACCATCAACATTGGATCCTCACCCGGATTCCTCCTGGTTATCCTGCTGTTGTTCTGTGTCATGGAGACCCTGCAACTTTGGATCAGCGGGACTGGCCTTTCACGGGTCCTAACTGTTCGAAGGTGATATAGATTTTGGGGTAGGCTGTCCTGGATCTGGGCCTCGGTTAAGGTAGCCAACCTGGTCAGTGCTCTGGCTCTGCCTCATCAGCACCACCAGGGTGAGATCTCCGGCACTGCTCAGGCTAGGCCACCTAGTACAACCATCAGCAGGAGGCAGGCTCAGCTCTTCTGCTCTCACACCCTTGGGGCTGGCTCATCTGCACCCATACCACTAAAGCCAGCTCTACGGTGCTGCCCAGTCAAAGCACAGGCCCTACTCTCCCAGATGCTGCAGCCTGTGAGGGGCTGGGCTGGCTCACCCATGCTTTCACTGTCAGGACTAGCTCCACTGCATTGTCCAGGTGAGGTACAGGGCCCTCTTTCCTTAGTGCTTTAGCTGGTGAGGGGGCAGGGCTAGCTCTCCTGCTCTAATGCCCTCAGGGTCAGCTCTTCAGACTGCCACTAGTGGCAAGGGGCTGGGGGAAAGGGCATCACCCCCTCTCCCATGCCGCTTCATGGCAGACAGGTGGCAGGGCCAGCTCTACTGTGCTGCCCAGACAAGGTGCAGGGCCCAATCTCCCAAATGCTGGAGCTGGTAAAGGACAGGGCTAGCTCTCCTGCTCTTATGACTCCAGGGCCAGCTCTCCCAACTGTCACAGGTTGTGGGGGAGGTATCATCCCTATACCCAGGCTACCTCATTGCAGATGAATAGCAGGACTAGTTCTTCCACCCTCACACCCTTGGGGCTGGCTCTCCTAGGCCCCCACCACCAGGGTCAGTTCTGCTGTGCTCTCCAGGTGAGCTGCAGGGCCTACTCTCCCAAGTGCTGAAGTTGGTGAGGGGCAGGGCTAGCTCTCCAGAGCTGACACTCCTGTGGACAGATGGGTGCTGGGGTTAGCTCTCCCACACTCATGTCCTTGGGCTGACTCACCCAGGGCCAGCTCCTCTGTGGTGCCTGGAGGATGTGCAGGTCCTGCTATTCTGAGGGCTACCAGCAGTGAGAGATGGGGCCAGCTCTCCAGAGCACCAAATCCAGTGAAAAGCATGGCCAGTTATGCATAGCCCCTGGACATCCACATAGTCCCCAGTGGCAACCCTGACCTGGGACATCTTTATGTTCTCTAGTCGTAATATGTGCCATAGACATCAGTGCAGTCCTATTCTGCTGGTTGCATAGCCAGGGACTCAGATGTGGCCCTCTCTGGCAGCTCAGTCTGGGCCCTCAGCATGGCCCCAGAGGATGGGGCTGGCTACTCACAACAGGCTGCTTCTCTCTATCCCAAGTCTCCACTTCTCTTTCTCTCCCATTTGACCGCCCCATACTGGCACATTGTGTGACTAGAGCTGCAGGCCGGCCACACTGCTGTTGGGACCCTGGTGATGAGTAGGCAAGTAGGTGTCTACGGCCCACCTGTGCCTGCACTGGGGGGTCAGGTCTGTGGGTGACATGGCAGTCTGCAGGACTCTGTCTTCCTCCTTCTGAGCTACACTGCCTAGATTTGATCTGATTTGATTTTTATGTGTCCTAGGCATAATACAGCTTTGGTCACCAAGCCAGGTATCAAGCAAGGATGAACAAAGAACTGCCATTTGCTCTGTCCCTGACTGATATAAGAATACCACCACCAACAAGGTATCTCTGCACATTGCTGAGGGGGGTGGTGTGGGAGGGGTTTGCTTGTGGGGACTTTGCTACCAGACAGAAGAATTGGTAAGGTAGTAGCAAAAGTTCAGAACCCTGAATTCTTAATTGAGGATGGCAGGAGTTTACTAGCTCCTGACCAGATTCCTGTCCTGGAGCACATGAACATGACACCCTACTAAGACGACCATGACAACTGGTCACATAGCATAGAGCCTAGAGTTCTGCATGCAAATGAGATATCTAGATAGGCCCCAAGGGTTTGGCCAATAAGTTTCCCTTCCCAGGTAGTCTTTCCTGCAAAAGACATTTAATCTCTGGCCCACCCTGAGTAAATCATATGCATCCTTTTCCTCCATGAATAAACAGTTTGGACAAACAAAGACTGTATCTCCTGTATCCCTCATCAAGGACCGAAGTGGGGAGAGGCCTTAGTCATACAGAGCCACACCTAAGATATATATATATATATATATATATATATATATATATATATCTGTAACCTTATTTGTAAGTAAGTTCTTGGTAAGACTCCTAAGTGTCTTTAGACTTAGGCTGGATCCTCAATGTAATGACAAATATATTTATTAAGAAAGAAGGAACCACAAAGCCATAGGAAGAAAGGCAGCCACATAAACACAGGGGCAGTGACTGGGGCTAGGTTGGTACAAGCTCAGAAACACCAAGTGCCAGCAGAAAGGCTGGAAAGAATATAAAGGAATGTCCCCTAAATCTATCAAAGCCATCGGTAAATTAGATGCAGCTCAATTTTCAAGACGTGTCTAGCCTACACATCACCCTCACAGTCTAAGCCAGCACTGTCCCTCTGCTGGTCATCTTTACATCTCTGCATGCTACAGGCACATGGTAATCAGCTTGTGATGTAAAACTGAAGTAAAACGTGTCCTCTCTGCCCATCCCCATCCCATGCTTCCCACTTCAGTTAGAATTGAACCCACAGGCTTCCCCACGGCCTACAGGCTGGGTTTGACCTGGCTCCTTACTCTTACCAGTCTCTGACTTCCTCCCTGACAAAGCACACACCTCCTCCAACCCCCTTTGTGCTCTTCCTTCTGTCTAGATAACCACAGCCTACACTGGGACAAGTTTCTGCCCAAATCTCATTTCTTACATGAAGCCTTACATTTTTATCCCACACCCTAAGTGTGAAATTATGGCCATGTCATATCACTCTGTTTTCTCTTGCTAATTTTCCAGTTCATAGACTTTATATTATTCAAAGGAAAGCAGCACATTAAGAAAGATCTCGTCTGTCTTGTTCACTGCAGTATACAAAGCACCGATGCTTGGCACACTGCAGCCATTAATTAATATTTGCTAAACGAATGAAGAAATCAACATACCTTATAACGATTACGGGTGTGAGCTAAGGGGATGAAGATGGTATCTACTTTCAGCACCACCCCAAACAACACTAAAGAGTAACCCAGAAGGCCACCCACACACATTCTGAGTGGATAAGGTAACAAAGGGGACAACCCATTGCAGCTACAGAGCCAGATCTCCAGTCAGGGAACTGCTAAATAGTATCAGTTTTCAGGAAAGTATTGCAGTGTGTAAAGCTGCCAAGATCAAGAGATGCATCAATGTCAAATCTGTGAATAAATCCCCATAGGTAAAGTTCCAACTACAACAAAAGCTGCCATCCTTCATATACTGAACACATTAGGCAGCGTAAAAAATCCTTTCATCCATCTAATTTTATCGGTGACTCTGTTACCTATCTGAGTTAGTGCTGGATAATATAGTTCCCATTTTATACATGGAAATAAGGAGAATAGTTGGTTCATACAAGAGAATGCTGCAGAATAAGGGGATTTTAGATCCAAATTAAGATTTCTGATTATGAAATTCTGTTTTTATTTTTTTTTGTTTTTTGTTTTTTTTGTTTTTTGTTTTTTGTTTTTTGTTTTTTGTTTTTTGTTTTTTGTTTTTTTGTTTTTACACTTCATTCATTGGTTTCTTTAATGAATCTATGTGGTTGGATTATTGGACACTATTGTTCCAGGTGACATTATGATAAGAAGTTGATCCTAGACTTTCCTAGTACTATTATTATTATTATAAAATAATGTGTATTTCCTGTACTTAAGAAGAAAATCGGCAAGTAACTTGCCACCCTTCTCGTGCCCATTGCCTCTCTCAGGAGGCCACCTCAGCTACGCGGAAAGCTTTGATCACTGTCCCGCTGTGAAGTGGGTGGGGACAGAACGACGTGGGCGGCGGTGCACCCCGGCCAGTTCTGGGTGGGTGTGGGGCGGCCCGGTGGAGGCCGGCCGAGGGGCGTGTCGGGGCGTGTCGGCGACGTGGCAGCGGGGCGGCGCGGAGGCCATCTTGGCGCGGGACACGTTCGTCTGGTCTTCCTCATCCACCGTAAGCCGCATCCCCGCGCGGGACCCCCGACCCGGGCCCCGACCCCGATCCGCGTGTGCAGCATCTGCGCAGGCGCTCGCTCCGACCCAGGTGAGCGCTGGACCGGACGGTGACACGCGCGGCGGGGACGGGACGCGGGCGAGCCCCAGGTGGGCGGGCCGGCCGGCGGCGGGGCGCGGGGGCTCCGGGCGGCGGAGACACTGGTCCGCACAACGGGGTCCCTCCTGGCATCGCTCCGGCCCCGATCCCCGGTCTCCCGGCCGCACCCTCCCGCGCGTGCACGGTTGACCAGGCCTGCGGACCTTCGCCCGGCCCTGCCCGGCCTGCAGACGTGGCACAGACTGCCCAGGCCGCCGGCCCCGCTGGGACGCAGTGGCTTCTCCCGGGATCCCGGGAGTGTCCAGCGCCGCCTTTAACCCGACTCATTTCGGCAAGAAATTTAGGACTTTATTTTCTAAATGGCATGATGTCTTGTCCAAGAGTTTTTGTCAGGGTTCTGATCTGAGAGGCAGCTTTGACTCAACTGTGAACCTGGCACTTTTTGGCACTTTAGTGCTGTCTGAGCACTGTTTGAATCACTGAGTGTTTGGGGAAGTTTATTTTGGGCTCTGCACGAGAATGATAGACTGCTGACCTCCGTCCTGAGTCTGCCCAGGGGTATTCGAGGCAGTCTTAGGACATCAGTAATATTAATAGGAATAGCTTCTGATGCTCTGACTTTACCAAAAATCCATTATCCTGTTTTTCTTTTAAGTAACCACCTATTTTTAAAAAACAGACTAAAGTAGGCGCAAGCAGATTCGAAGAGCAGTTTGATCAAACTCTGAGGTCTCATCTTCTAAGATATTTCCATCTCTTCCTGTAGTAATGTTGATGCATTTGGACAACTTTTTGTTCTTTTTTCTTTTCTTTTTTTTTTTTAAAGCTCTGTCAACTGTTGCATCAGTGTTCCTATTCTAATAGCTAGCTTTCTTTCTTTCTTTCTTCCTTTTTTTCTTTTGAGAAGGTATGTTTGTGTCTTCGAAGTTTATCTCAGTATTGTGTTTAATCCATTGCTCAAATGGTAAACCTTCTTGTATTTCAGGTGTGCTCTTTTGCTCTTGCTGTGAGATTGGGATTATCTTTAAATAGGACCTAGCCTTTGGCAAGGATTAGATAGCTTCTTCAGAAGACCAGAAACTGGAGTGACTGATAAGAGATGAAGGAAAGAGATAACCTTGGTAGAAAGTGATTCAGTCTGTGGAAGGGCCTTTCTCTTTCAGGTTATCTATCTTTGTCCAGGTAGGGAATAGACAGATTTAGCCTCTTTAATGTCTTGTGTTTCCCCTCTTCACAACCAGGCTGTAGTGGGGTACAGACTCGTCTCCTTTCCTACCCTCAGTCTCCCTTCTTTGGAAACAGTTCTGAGACTGTCTATACTTTAGCAAACCCATGGAAACTTTGACAGCGTCCCTTCTGGCTTCTCTTCAGTATTTTTAGTACCTTGAAATGTCGCCTTCTGAGAACCACAGTCTCCTCATTTCTCCCTGCCATTCTGTTGGTTGTATTTCTGCAGGTTATTTGGCTACATGCTTGGAAGAAGGTTTGTCGTTAAGTAGTAGTCCCTTTATTTTGGTACACCCTTCTAAGAAGAGATATGGCAGAACGTGATATCAGAAGCCGTTGGTATATCCCCGACACTTGTGGTTTGTGAACTCCAGACCCAGTTGCTGTCTCTACTTAAGTGTGTCAAGGAACTTGATCCTGCTGAGTTAGAGGTGAAACACTTTATGATCCGCTAAAAGACACTATCAATCTCCTTGGCCTCTTACACTGCTCTCTGTCTTACTTTAGGGGTACTCACTAAGTCTTACCTAAACGTCTCTCTAGCCTGTTTCCTCTTTCTCATCTCCATCACCACCATCTTAGTTTAGGCCACAGAATCTCAGCCCAGCACTATGGATGCATGGGCTCATATGATTCTTGTGGGTTGCAGGATGTGCATTATGGGAATTTGAGCTGTTACCTAATCTATAGCAGCAGTACCCTAGTGACAACCAGAAGTTGTCATGGAAACCCTGGGGGATACAAGGTTTTGGTTATTTCTAGAGTAGGATATTGGCAGATCCTGTTTCACTTCTTCTATATTCCCAAGTGGTGTCTCTGCCCAGTGGTTCAGTGTACACTTTAGCCAAAGGAATCCTTTTTCATCCACTCCCCAACTCGCCATGGTGCTGGTGGTTGTATTTGCTAGGTGAGAGTTTTACTAGTGAGCTACACTAGTCCAAAGGAGTCTTCAGAACACTAATAGGAATTGTCAGTAACTGGGGTCGGCCCGGCTCCTCAGGCGGGTAGTGGATCCACTGCTACATCTGAGGGTAGAAATGTTGTTCATCGAGCATTTAAATGCCCTAACTTGGATGAATTTCGGAGGCAACTGGCTGTGTATGGTGTGTGTAGGGGGGAGCCAAATATTAGGGGATTACCTGGGATTTCATTTTATTTACCTTTATGAAATGAGAAAAACAGAGTGTTCTGTTGTCAGTGTTTGTGTTTGGAGGGAGGATGGGACAGAGGAGTGCAGTGAGGGGGTCTGGAGCGATGGGGGTGTGCTTCTGTGTTCAGCAGGGGTGGTGACAGGGCGCCTGTGCATGTGGTTCAGCTTCACAGAGTGGCACACACCTCACATACACACAGATTAGTAAACACGGCTCAAGTCCTAGTAAGGGCTACAGAGACATTAGTGGAGCCGTACCCCTGTCTGTTTTCTGTGTTTGGAATTTGTCTAGCGACTGTCACTGAGATCAGTTTGCACTGGGCTCTCTACTGTGTGTTCGAGTGCCTTTCTGTTCTTTAAATGTCCTGCCTCTCACCTCTGTCAGGAAGACTGGGCATCTGGACCCCTGGCTGCCCCTCCATTTTGTTCTACCACGAGGCTTTCTTGAATGTGTCTACTCCCTTTGTTTATACCTGCAGCATGCTCACTGTTTAATGGAAGGTTCCCCTTTCCCTCCTTAAGCTCTTACTTCCCTTGACTTATGGAAGTTTGCTTTATCTTTCAGAACTCATCTCTAAGTTGGAGACCTTCCCCAGATATTGCAGTCACAATCCTTCTGTCCAGCATGACTGTCCTTAGCCTTAGCATACGAAACCCAGCTTTCGTAGCATGTCCCTGTCGTTGGATGTTGGTTCTGTGATTTGGTTGTGTCCTGTACAAGTCTCTAAGTTGATCGGGTTTTGCTTAGCACTGAATTTCCAGAGGCTCATTACAGTGCTTGGCAAACAGTTTCTCTTTGCTGAAAATTTGTAAACCGAGTGAAAACATCAAGGGGCAATTTGGCCTGGTTAGAGCTGGTTTTCTACTGTCTCAGTTTCTTTTCCTCTTGCTGAAATAAAACACTCCATTTAAGAGAGAGAATGGTTTATCTGCTTCGTAGTTCATGGATGTAACCCACCAAGCTGGAGACTTGTGGGCGGGAGCTTGGCAGTCACATGCCATCCAGAATCAAGAGCAGTGGCGAATGAATGGATGCATGCTGCTGCTGTTAGCCATGGTCACACTGGTTTGAAAGGTTTCTCTGTTTTTGGTTATGTGGTGGCCGTTTTGTGGTGGCTGGTGACAGTGTTCCAGTCTTTTATTTTTTCCTAGAAACTGCCCACTCACTTCAGACCCTTGACAGTGACTGGTCATAGAGATACTCATGACCATCTTTTAGGTCTAGAGTCTCTCAGAATTTACCATCCTTCCATTATCCTTGGCAATGGGTGCTTGGGACCCCTACTCGCTCCTCTGTAACGATCCCTGATCTAAGTGGACTGTGAACTGTCTGCTTCCCAATCTAGAGACCTCCCAGGCATTGATTTCCTCAGATTAAGTCTGTTGTAGCCAGGCGGTGGTGGCACACGCCTTTAATCCCAGCACTTGGGAGGCAGAGGCAGGCGAATTTCTGAGCTCGAGAGTTCGAGGGTAGCCTGGTCTACAGAGTGAGTTCCAGGACAGCCAGAGCTACACAGAGAAACCCTGTCTCAAAAACACACACACACACAAAAAAAAAAAAAGTCTGTTGTAGAAGTTGCTCCTGCCTGCCCCCTGGCAATTCCAGCAGGGACTGATCCATTGTTACTCATCAGACAGTGGCTGTCTCGACCTTGGGTGAGCTGTTTTAGATTTACCCTTTGGAGACTTTTCCTTTCTGACCCTCAGTCAGGTGGAGCCCTCACAAACCCCAGCTCAGTGCAGGGCTTTCTCTCAGATTATACTGTTGCTCTCCCACTAGAGGATCAGAAGGCATGTCTCAGTCCTTTTGGGGCTTAGGATCTTTCAAGGAAAAGGATGCTCCTCCTTTTGAAAGTCTGCTTTCTGTTTGGGACGATCTCTTCTTTCATCTCTCTTTATGACCGTGGGGCAGCACTTTTCTAAACTACACAGAGCAGTGGTTCTCAGCCTGTGGGGGTGGAATGACAGGGGTCGCTTAAGAAATATCAGATACATAACAGTAGCAAAATTTAGTCATGAAATGGCAACGAAATAATTTTATGGTTGGGACTCACCACACACCACTGTATTAAAGGGTCAAAACATAAGGAAGGCTGAGAACCACTGGCCTAGAGGGGCTCCTGTTTCCTAAAAAAAAAAAAGTGTCCCCTTAGGTTAGAAAGTGGCTCAGTGGTTAGGAGTACTGACTGTTTTTCATGGGATCTGAGTTCAATTTCCAGCACCTACATGGTGGCTAACAACTGACTATAACTCCAGTTTCAGGAGACCTGACACCCTCTTCTGGCCTCTGTGGGTACTAGGTACATGATACACAGACAGGCACATGGGCAAAACACTCATAAACATAAAATAAAACTGTAACTGCCCTACGAGTAAAAGCCCAAATGTAATTTACTGCAACATGGCCTGGCTGCACTGCCCTTTGACAGTGGTTGCTCCTGGAAAGAAGAAAGCGTGTTTGCTGTCTTCGGAAAGACTTAGCTCAGTGGAATATGGTTCAAGGTTTCCTACATTCCAGCCGTTATCTTCCTGGCCTCTGCCCTGCTCCCTGCTTATCCCACTCTGCCTTGCAGGTTCTCCAGTGTAGGCACCTTCTGGGCGTGGGTCACCAAATGGAAGGTGACTAAGAAGAGGCAAACTGGGGAATAAGAGATTTAGGATAGTGTAGACCTGTCCTTATTCAAGAGGAAAGCCTACAGAGGGGTCTCAGCAAGAATCAGAGACCACCATGAGTTTACTCACTGAGGTAGTTAGAAGTCAGGGGGCAGGGAGTTGAGAAGCTTCTGTCCGGAGGAAAATGAGCAGTGAATAAAAGAATTTCTCATGTTCAATAAATATCTTCCCTGGGGTCCCACAGGCCAGAAGAGTCAATAAGCTATAGAACAGGTTAATTAACTTCTAGAAACCAGATTACTCCAGTTGCTGGAATTGTTGCCAGCCGACCAAAATGAAGATTACAAAATGGCATGCCCCTGGTGCTGCTGAGCTCCCGTTTCCATGTTAACAGTCCAGGATCCCAGTCAGGGAGAGGTGCCCTCTACAGTGGGTAGGTCTTGCCTGCCATTTCAGTAAACAATCAGGATATTGCACACAGGCAGTCCCCAGTGGCTCATCCTCCCAGGTGAGTCTAGAGTCTGTCAAGTTGACTAAGGTTATCACTATCGTATACTTTAGATGAATCTTAAGATTTGTAATTTTTTTATAGAATCATATTCACCCTCCATCCCCCTACTCACACCTCCTCCTAAGTCTGCCCCACCATGCCTCCTTCCCAATTTCATGGTCTCTTTGTAACCCATTGATTCCAAATAGTGGTGTCTGTGTGCATAGGTGTGGGGCCATGCACTAGAGCATGGGCAGCCTATCTTGGGACATATCGCTGAAGAAAGGGACTCTTCCTCTTCACAGCCATTGACTTCATCAGCCCCTCAGCTAGGGCTCAGCTTCCTGGGCCCCTCCTCCATATATACTAGAAATTTGACTGGCTTCATTTTGTGTTTAGAAGATACTTTTTCATAGCAGTTCGAGCTCTGACTTTTCCAGTCTTCCCACCCCGTCTTCCATGTTGTTCCCTGAGCCTTGGTGGGAGAGGTGTTGTTTAGATGTCCCCTTTTAGGGCTGAGTACTCCACAGTCACTTACTTGCTGTCCTTTGGGTGTTCCTGAGTCTCTGTTAACTGCCATCCATTGCACAAAGATGCTCTTCTCATGAGGGAGGAGAGCTGCACAGATTGTGTGTGTGAAGCTAAGTGCCTAGAGGCAGTTGGTTAGTAAGGATGCTGTCTTGCATTGACCTGCTTAGGACCTTGCTTTCTCCTGGCTTGTTTTCTTTTGTTAACTTCTAAAACCCAAGGCACATCATTTCCCTGTGGCAAGGCTGCTGTGGACTAGGAGACTGGAACCTAACCGGCTTATAAAGTTGAACTCAACTTGGTATTTGTTTAAATGTTAATAGATATAGCCCACATGTACTGTATTGAGAGAAGACATTTGTAAATGCATTTACAAATGTTACAAATGTGCATTTGTAAAATCAAGCAAATTTAGCTTTTAAAAAGAGGTGTTAACAGAGTAACCCCACACAGAATGCTTTCAGAGAGAAGATGAGGAATTAAATTAGTTTAATTAATTAGTTAAATTAGATATCTTCATTTTAAGCATCTTGACTGAAATCTACACATAACTCTCACAGGATTCAAGTGGCCAAAATTGACTTGGCACTTTATAATATAAAATATTTAAAATATATAGCTTCATTAATAAAATACTTAACATAAAATTATCCCTCAGTTGTAAAATTTTATATTTATACATATATATATGTGGAAATGTCACAGGTTATTTGCATATTAGTTTCATAGTCTTTAAATTTATTTATTCAAAACTTTGTTACAAAAATTGTTGTAAATAAACCCAAAGACTGTGTGTGTGTGTGTGTGTGTGTGTGTGTAACATGTGTGGGTGCCTTTGGAGGCTAGAAGATACTATGGTTGTGAGCTACAGGTGGTTGTGAGCCATTATGTGGGCACTGGGATCTGGACCTAGGTCCTCTTCAGGACCTGCCACCTTCTGGTCATCTCTCTAGCTTCTCAGTAGTTTTAACAAGCCTTTCCTCCAGACATGCATAGTAAAGGCCGACTTGCCTCTCTGTCTTAATTGTTCTCTGACTACATAAGCTGCTGCCCGTGTAAAGCTTACTACCTTTGTATATGTTTGCAGTGCACCATAACTGAGGGAAAATGATGGAAGAAAGTGGAATCGAGACAACTCCGCCTGGAACCCCTCCCCCGCATCCTGCAGGCTTGGCTGTCGTGCCTTCCACTGAGGCTCACCTAGGTTTGTTGTGGGGAACATCTGGAGGGTTGGAGGCACTGGTCTCTCTGAGTCAGTTAGAAGAATTAGTGTGTCACTGCTTCTCTAGTCCTTGTCTGGGTGGAAAGAAATTGTCCTTTTAAATGTCAACAATAACAAAGAAACAATCTCGCCTGTCACAAGTAAGGAAGCATACTGTATGCCTCTCTGTAGCCAGCCTTCAAAGCATGTGCTGTCTTTGATGTTCTTTGACTTTGTGACGATTTGTCTTTGAGGTTTTAGTGCTGAAGTTTTTATGTTCGTATCAGGGATGAAAAAATGACTTTTTTTTTCTCAAGAAACAAACACATAGAAAGGAAGGTTTACTCGCAGGCAGTGTGTTTTCCTTGAGTCCTGCTCTTTGCCCAGTGGATGACATGGCTCCTGTACTCAGATACAATTGTTATGCATTGGAAATTGCACCTTTAAAGTTAGTTATTAAGCTTTGGCTTTTCATAGTAGAAATTCCCCACGCAGTGCTTGTTTGAAATGAAGTAGAAAGACTTTCTAGCTTTGTGGGGTTATCCTCTCCATTCTTTTCTAGCTGCAACCAGTTCCTTCTCATCTCCCAATGTGTCTGGGATGGAGTCTTTGCAGCCGCACGCGTATTCCACGCCTCAGCCCTCCCTGCCCCCTGTGCAGCCATCAGCGCCACCTCCCTTTGTGCCTTTGTCTTCAGCTCCTTCAGTTCCCCTGAGTGGCACTTCTGTGCCGCCCTCCGCGTCTCCATCCCTTGCCACTGCCTTCAGCGGCCCTCCATTGTCCCACTTCCCACCTGTGACCTCCGCCTCTGGTGCTCTTCTGTCTGCACCGCCTTCCGGGCCTCCCATCTCAGGGTTTTCTGTTGGTACAACTTATGACATCACGAGGGGACATGCCGGGAGAGCTCCCCAGACACCTCTGATGCCATCATTTTCTGCACCTCCGGTTACAGGTGAGCTTCCCTTACTGAGTACCAAAGGGTACTCGGCTGTATTGAATGTGTTACTACTGTGTGGTGTGTTCTAGGTTGTGTAGTGTTGCGATTGTATTGTGGACAGTGGAGTGCCGTAGTTTATGTGTAGATGTGGGCATTTGCTGCTTATAGGTCTCACTTTTTCTGTGTTAATGATTAGTCTCACTCTTTGACTCCTAGTCACTCAACATCTTACCACTTAGATTATTAACAGTAAAACTAATTGAATTTATTGTGCAGTTTTTGTGTGCTATAAAAATTGATGTATGGGGCTGGAGAGATGGCTCAGCGGTTAAGAGCACTGACTGCTCTTCCAGAGGTCCTGAGTTCAAATCCCAGCAACCACATGGTGGCTCATAACCATCCGTAATGAGATTGGATGCCCTCTTCTGGTGTATCCGAAGACAGAGACAGTGTACTAATAAAATAAATAAATAAATAAATAAATAAATCTTAAAAAAAAAAAAAAAGAAAAATTGATGTATGATTGGTATGTGAGGTGTGAGAAGGAATTGCTAACATTTATTACTCACTGATTAGCTGCAGGTTGCAATCCAAGAGTACACTATAGGTCATTTCTTAAAAAATCAGAACCGTCTTTCCTAGAGAATAGATTTTATTTAGCTAGTCCCATGTGTAAGTGAGTGATACTATCCCCATTTTTTTTTTTTTAGGCCAACTGTATCCCTTTTTGTCTTCTTTTTTAGTATGGTTGTTAAAAACAAATGATAAAAACTTAATTTTTGACATCTTCTGTCATTTATTATTTTAGGCTAGAGGAGTAATTTAGCTTTGATTATTTAGTATCCAATTTGGCTTATCTGCATTTACAAATACAATGTATTTTGGTGCATAAGAATTCCATGGTTATCTGTGTTTACACAGATGTATTTAGTGTGTGTGTGTTCTGTGTGTGTGTGTGTGCCTGAGTACGTGTATGGCCACCTTATGTGTGCAGGTGCCTTGGGAGGCCAGAAAGGCTGTTGGATCCCTGGCAACTAGAGCTACAGATGGTTGTGAAGTCAGCTAATGTGGGTGCTGAACCTGAATCCTCTGCAAGAGCAGCCAGTGCTGTTAGCTGCTGAACCCTCTCTCCAGCCCCAATGGGTACCTTCTTTTGGATGTGTATATATTATACATACATACATACATAACATACATACATACATACATACATACATACATACATGTGTAGTGATTATTATTTTTTTATGATGGACTTTAGTGCTCGGTTCTTTGTATGGATTAAGGAGAGTAGAAGTGCACCAGTCATCTAAATCCTGGATAGGATACACAGGAGCATGCGCACATAGACACCCCATGTGTGTGAATTTATGTGCTTTATTTGTTGTTGTTTGGGACACTTGGTGTAAACTTATGCAAAAGGGGAAATATCTTTAAAGGGATTTTTTCATTTATATTTCTTTATAAAGGTTTCATTTAATAACTTCCTCTTTAAGTGCTTACGTGGTTCTATTACTGAATTTGGCTTGAGTTTCTCACGCTGTGTCTTTTTATAGGAAAACGTTTGTGGAATAAATTACACAACTAAATTTTTGCCATTGACTAGGTATTTTGCCAGCCCCCATTACTCAGCAAGCCAGTATGACATCTCTGGCACAGGGACCTGGAACTACATCAGCCATTACTTTCCCAGAGGAACAGGAAGATCCTAGAATTAATAGAGGCCAGGATGAAGCACCTGCTGGTGGGATCTGGGGTTTCATTAAGGTAAGAGTGTTTGCTTTTCACATTACTATTCTAATCGTACAGCTGACAGGTGTTCATTAGAGGAAATTCTGAGACCAGAGTATAGAGTAAGGGAAAGAAGCCCTTTATGGCCAAATTTCTATAGTTGCTCTTGTCGTTTGTCTATGTGTGTCTGTTTGTCTGTGTGTGTCTGTATATATGTACTTATTCTCTTACTAAGAATCCAGTTGGATTAGGGACATGGCCATTGTGTTCCTTGTCTTAATGAAGTTGTTCTTTGAAATAATGAAGACTAGATGACTTTATTAATATCCTCCAAGCTATAAAAGTGTCTGTCTGCCCGTATGACTGACTGACTTTGTTTCTTGAGTATTCGGAATCTGCTTATGTTTAATTGGGCTGTATGTGTGCAGGTGTATGTGTGAGCGTGTGAATGTGGAGGCCAATATAAAAGATCTTCCTCTGTTGCCCACATTACTTTTGGTTCAGGGTCTGTCATTAAATTTGGAATGTATCAGTTCAGCTAGGCTGGCTTGCCAGTCAGCTCAAAGGATGCCCTCATTGTACCCTGCTCCAGTACTGGGGCTTCAGACGCGTGCTGCAGTGCTCTGCCTTCTGCATGGGTGCTGGTCATCTGAGCCCAGGTCCTTGGGCTTTGTGGGATTTACTGTTGAGTCATCCCTCCAGCTCTAAGAATTCTTCCTTTAGAATATAATTTTCTAATAATTACTTTTGTAGCTCTCACATTTATCATGTTTTATTTTACAAATCTGTTATTGGTATTATGTGGTTATAAGTTTTAAAATCATTTTACTTACTTTAATGAGAAAAATGTGTAAATGTGCCATACTTTTTTTTTTTTTTTTTTTTTTTTTTTACTGTTTTTGGTATATTGAGGATTGGACCTAGGGCCTTAAATATACTGATAAGTACTTTATTTCTCAGCCTGGTTCCCATATCACTACTTTAATTTTGACAAAGCGTCTCATCAAGTTGCTTAGATCAGCCTGGCATTCACTCAGTATCCCAGACTGGCCTGACACTTACTATCCTCCTCCTCCTGCCTGGCTTGTAACAGGGATCACAGGCCTGCACCATCAAGCCTGATTAACATGACATCTCCATCGAGCTGTACAGTGATCCCTTACGATTTTAATCTCAGAAGTAAAACTGGTGAGCAGTCTTGTGCGTACATCTTGATGGCATCACTAGTTCCTGAGAAAGTCCTAGTGAATGCCCTAGAACTTCCTGTTCCTTTCCAGTGGCCACACCCGTGTGATGTTTTGCATTCTCCTTGTGGTATATGTTATTTTGAAGTACAGTATTTTTTTTTCTGATTTAATAAACAAAAACATTTGCAACTTTTTTTTGGTGTATGTGTGTGTGTACACATACATGTATTGCACATGTGTGGAGGTCCAGGGTTAATACAGAGTATCTTCTATGAGTGTTCTCCACCTAGTATACTAACGTCAGGTTTGTTGCACCCAGAGCTTATGGTTGGGACTAGTCTGGCTAGCCAACTTTCCCTGGCTCTCTGTCCTGGGCATTGGGATTGCCTGTGGCCACCATACCAACTCAGTTTTTATGTAGATTCTGGGGATCCCAGCTCTGGTCCTCATAAGTGTGATGCAAGGGCTTTACCTGACAGCCAACCCCCAACATTGAAGCCATATTTTAATTTTTATTTCTTATTTATTAAGTTTGGTCTCCCCCCCCCACCCCCCATGAAATTTTGTTTTATGTATTCTGTGTTTGTCTTTGTTCAGTTTGAAGTTGGGTAGGGAGATTTGCTTTTCTGGGTTTGTTAAGAGCTCTGACTGAAACAATACTGTTTTACAATATACACATTATAACTTTTTCCATTTGAATCTTTATTTTGATTTTATTATGCTTTTCAACACAAAAGTTCTGAAATGTTCAGAAGGTATTTCTGTGAATCTCTTTCAGATCTATATGCTGAAAGAATACATTTTCATTCCATCTGTTTTTTTTTTTTGTTATGTTTTGTTTTTTGTTTATTTTTAACAATTTCAGATTTTACTCTAGCATTCAATATAGCTAATGTGTTTTAGTGCACCCTGTAAGGTAGAGATGAAATTTAAGTGTTTTCCAGCTTCTTAGTGGAGTATTTCGAGTGACCTGATGTTCCTCCTTATCTTTCTTACTAAATTACACCTTAATGCTGGTCAATGAGCTTTGTCTTCTGTCCCATTGAGCCTGTCTCTGCAATAGTAGCACACCATTAAAACTGCAGTGAGCCTTTGTCATTCCACTGTTGCATGTCGAGAGCTCCCTGTGTGCTCAGGTGGGTGTGTGGAGCATTCAGTGATGAAAGGAGAGGTGCAGCCTCTGTTCCAGCGCTGGGAGCCTCAGGTTTTTCTTCAGGTTTTCTTGGTTGATCATTCCCAATTCTTTCTTAATGAAAAAACATTTTTAATTCCTTCTGCCAACTTCCTCCCAGTGTTCTACTGAGAGGCTGTTCAGTTTCATTACATACAGTAAACATAGTTTTAGATTAAGTGGTTAATGTGCTCATGTTTCAGGTCCATCTGGTCTTTTTAAAACACTTGCTTTTGTAGATCTCTGTGAAGTTAAAATCTTATACAAAACTATGGCCTTCTCTTTCCTTCCCTTGTAAAAACTGTCCATTGCTAATTGTTATACCTGGTTCAGCACTCTGGTTCCTGTCAGAATGCTGACAAGAATGTACATGATTTTTAATGTGAGGTTGCCTGGCAGCCCTAAACTTCACTTGTTGAATTCCTGTATCCGAAGTCACCTTAGCTCTGAGTTGGCAGGAGGGAATCCTAGTCTGTTGGATATCCTGTAGGGGGCGCTCCCTCTGCCCTTTACTTTTAGAAGGATTAGAGTGTGGGAAGGAAAGCTCTTGGCTAGTTCTTGGGTGGTTCTCTGTCTCATGGTGCTGTTGGTCTGAAGATTCCAAAAGGGAGAAATCTGCCTAAGGAAGGGGGATTTAAGAATGGATACAGCAAGATAGGAAACTTCAGTAGAATATGCAAGGCACTAGGTTCTGCATTAAGGCATCCAGGAGCCATTCTGGAGGGCAACGCTTCCTTCCTTCCTTCCTTCCTTCCTTCCTTCCTTCCTTCCTTCCTTCCTTCCATCTCCTTCCTCCCTCCCTCCCTCCTTCTTCCCTCCCTCCCCCCCTCCCTCCCTCCTTCCCTCCCTTCCTTCCTTTCATTTCCTTCCTTTCTTTTCTTTTTTTCTTCCTTTTTTTTCTTTTTTTACTGCTTCTGTCTTTTTAGGAACAAAGTATTGACTTACTTAGACATCCGATTACAGTCCTTACTTGGAACCCTAAAAGACAAGTTTGTCTTCTAAATGTATCTATAAATGAAACACATTTCACTTACAAAGCCAAGTGAAACACCAGTGTTGTTCTAGTATCTTCCACCGGCTACGGCTGGTCTGCCCTCTGTATGAAAGATAAGCCTGGTAGGAATTTGATATCAAGTGACCTCATTTTCCTTATGGTGTCCCAAAGTGCTGCTCTCCATGTTTCAGAAGTACTGGTCCACCAAGGCATGGGGAGCTTTAAAAGAAAAGTTCCTGTCAGGGAGCCGCAGCTGTCGCAAGCTAAAGCGTGTCCATGTTCAGGAAGGAGGCTCTGTTCAGAGCATCCCTTGGCTTTCACAGGTTTCCTGCCTCCTATTCAGTGATGCTTCCTGGTCCTTGGTTGGAGTGAAGTTTCCTGTTTAGGGCCAAGTACTGAGTACTTGTCTCCTATCCTCAGCACTACGACTCACTAATGCATCTCTTCAGTAGCAAACATTTTAGTGTAGATGCCGTACATGATCTATAGACTCTGCCCCATAGACTTAGATTTCTGAAAACCTACTTTTAATAAGGCTTCTCAAATACCTCGACCCTCCCTTTCACCTTTCAATCAAAGGTAGAGGAGGAAGGATAGTAAACGGGACAAGGGGATGTGAACCTGTTTAGAAGTGGTCTTTCGGACAGTTTCAATCTCCGTTGTCAGGATACCAGCAGTCCAGTTCGGTAGTGTCAGGATGACAAACATGAATCAACAGTGGTAGCACAGTCCAGCAGAAACAGCCAGTCCTCCTTAGAATCAGCACAAGTCAGGGGGAGTGACCAGGACCAGTCTGGACACCAGGAGAAGTTCTCTGCTGTGCCTCTGTCAACATCAGCAAAACTTGAGATCAATGCAGCATTGCAAGGCCAGCTATGCAAGCACCCATCACTGTCCTTTGGGTTCTATTTATACTGTCTCCAAACATGTGCCCTTCACAGGTCTTGCTTCAGCAAAACACCACATGAGTCTGCTTCAGCAAGACACCATATAAGTCTGTATCACATGACACAACCAGAAACTTCCAGTTCATATCTCCCTTTTTGTTTAAGAATTGTCTTTTTTTTCTAACATTAACAATATACATAAGGTAAAAATAATTATATAAACCATAAAACTAGAACTTTACATATTTAAATAAATAGCTTATGTACAATAAGCTAACAAAACAACCTTAAATTTTTATTAGGATACCATAATTTAAATAAAATGACCTTAAATTTTTATCAATATACAATAAAAGCAAAACAACTTGCAACTTTTAATGGCATGCAATAAAAATAAAACAACTTTCTATTCCTACTAATATACAATAATTTAAACCTATCACCCTAGATGATAACAACCCCAACATACAAACAACCAAAACCATCCATCCCAACAAAGTGATAGAGACAATAGTCTTCTTATAATTGCTTCATGCTAAATTGGTCCAAAGAGTTCCTGTTTGGGGCCCAAGGGAGAAAATGGTTAATCCAATATCTTCCCATCCCTGAAAACCTGCTGGAGCATTTGTTTCCCAGTATCTTTTTTTTTATCCAGTCTTTGTGTTGTCTGTCAAGTCTGTGTTGTCCAGCCTCTGTGTGATCCATCATTTATTTGGGCTAGCCCTTTTGCAGTTGATATGCATGCATATTTTGGAGAAATCAGTAACTGAGACAGTCTATGAGAGTGAATCACCCTGAGTTATTTGCTTTGTGAAGACATTCCTGTCTCAGTTGAGAGTTTTCCTGGTCAGATCTAATCTTTATAAGTTTTGTTGGTAACCATATTTTTTCCTTTCCTGTAGATACATAAGCATAACCACGTCCCCATTCTAACAGACTTCCATTCTAATGTCAGCACATCCTTAGAGTATAATGGTTGGCTCAGTTCCGCAGTTTTGTTTTGTTTTTTTCGATAACTCAGTGTCTCTCGGCTGCTGTTGTTCCGTTTTCACCAACATTATGAAAATTTAGAGTCAACAAAGCATCATTTAGTCTGTCCCGGAGGATTTTTACTTTCCCTTTTTGTTTCATAAGCATTTCTTTTAAGGTACGATTGACTCTTTTTATAACTGTTTGCCCCTTAGTGAGGAGCTATTGTTAGTGGACAGTTGCTGGGTGTCTTAGTCAGGGTTTCTATTGCTGCGACAAAACACTATGATCAAAAATCAAATTGGGGAGAAAATGTTATTTGGCTTACACTTCCAGATGATAGTCCATCATTGGAGGAAGTCAAGATAGGAACTCAAGCAGGGCTGGAACCTGGAGGGAGGACCTGATGCAGAGGTCACAGAGAGGCATTGCATACTGGTTTGCTCATCATGGCTTGCTCAGCCTGGTTTCTTACACCCAGGACCAGCAGCCCTGGGATTGCACTATCCACTATGGGCTGGCCCTCCTCCACTAATTGAGAAAATGCCTTACAGCTGGATCTCATGGAGGCATTTCCTCAGCTGAGTCTCCTTCCTCTCTGATGACTCTACCTTGTCTTAAGTTGACATACAAAACCAGAGGGAGAATGGTTCTTTTTTAGGCTGTGGCCACTGGTAAGTTTCCTGTGCTCCGGCGGATGGCCCACATCTACGCACATATGAGTAGTACTAACCAGGCTTAGTTGGTTATCAAAGAAAAGGCATGGGAGGGTATGTTGGGATATGGTGAAAATTGGAGAGGAAAATCAGGGTAGTGTGATCAGACTTAATTGTTTGTGTGTATGAAATTTTCAAAAGTGAAGTTTTAAAAAGTTCTTCACACTTAGGAAAGTCAAATGTTCTTTGGCTGAACTGAATGTTTGCATCTTGCTTTGTGCAGGGCGTGGCTGGAAATCCTATGGTGAAATCTGTGCTGGATAAGACCAAGCATTCTGTAGAAAGCATGATCACGACGCTGGATCCTGGCATGGCTCCGTATATCAGTATGTACACAAGTGAGATCAGTTTCAGCCACTGTCTCTAATGTGTTCGTCAGTGTCACACGCTGAGGGTACTTGGAGTTCATGTCCCCTGGCCATGTAACTTAAGAACAACTTCCTGTGCAATTAGTTCAAATCTATTCAGTCTTCGTTTTGGGTTTAACTGATTTATCTTTTTGTTAGTTATCGTTATATAAGTTTTAAAGCTCCACAGAGGGACAACAATGTGGATTGTGGGTTTTGATGATAATTTTTTAATGGTTTATAGGAATTCTTCTTTATTCAGTTAGTTTTAAAGTACTTTGTTTACACTTGGTTTTGGCGTATTTTTCTACTTTGTTTACACTTGGTTTTGGCGTATTTTTCTAGTTCTCTATTTAATCATGTGATTATGCTTAATCAGGAATAAGTTTTTTAGGCAAACCTACTCTAGCAATTAAAAAACCTTGATTACTAAGTTTGCTGGGAAAAAAATTTTAGCTGCTTTTGAACTCTCCTCAAAAACCCTCAGATAGTTGACACGGGCATGTTGCTCTTTAATTTTTATGTACATTCCCAGTATATGAACAAATGTGGATTCGCTGTAGAATAAACGTATAGTTAATAATAGCTAATAAGCTGGTAGATGTTCCTTGCAAGTTGGAGCTGTGAAGTAGGTACTTGAGCAGAAGCTTTCAGTGGCAATAAAAAGCCAAGAGCTTGTCTTGACTCTATTGGTGGTTTCCTGTCTAATATGTGTCCATTGGTCAGACCTATAGAGATAATAAAGATTTTCAAGTGCTTGTTCTGCTAGACACTGATGCTCACATGAGCGCTGTGACATAAGTGTTTTCATATTCAGTTTGGGGTAAGGAACCTGGGTTTAAAAAGGCATACGTTATTATATTAGGTCATGCAGCTATTATATTAGGTCATGCAGCTGGGCTGGAGCTTAATTGAATATACATATACATGTATCATTCATCTATAGCTGTATATATCTACTTTGCTTCCTGTGTAGTGGGAATTGAATTAGGAGATAATCAAGGAGCCATGTATAATCTGTAATCCTAGCACTTGCAAAGTGGAATGTAACAGCCTACCCTCAGGAACATGATCTCAAAAATCAACAAAATACAAACAAGCGTAAAATTTCAAATAATTTTCTGTGTTAGTAATTATCCAAAAGATTTGACTTTACCACATTTATTAAATTTCATATTCATGTATCCATACCAATGTAGCTGAAGAGACTTACTAAATTATATTTTTCTTTTGTGTATATATATTTTAAGTAAAGGAATAAGCATTTTTGGAGCTCTTGTTGTTCTCCTGGGTATACTATATTAGAACTCTTGTTCTCAGAGCAAGCCCATAGGGGAAGCAGGTCTTTTTCTACAAAGAAACCAGCCCTTGTCTTCCTCCACGTAGTGAGGCTGGTGAATGAGAAAATGTAGCCCTCAGCCTTTGATGTCCCTCCTACTGGCACCATCACCCACCACTGTGTGCCTGCAGAAGGTGGTGCCTCAGACAGAGATAATGTGTTCTGGAGCTTTCATAGAATACTGAAGAACTGTGCTCTTCACTGAGTACCACAGGTAACTCAGAGCCTGGAAGAGGTGTGTACCAGCCTCAGCTTTCAAGTAAGACTTCAGATAAGGTGCTGAACTCCCATCCTTAAAACTCAAGAGAAGTTGGTAGTCTGGTTCTAAGCACAGGTTGGAATAGTATACTTGAGTGAGAGGGTGGGAAATGTATGGTTGTATCAGATGATTTGACAGAAGGAGGATTTGTAGCCGGGAAGTGGTGGCACACGCCTTTAATCCCAGCACTTGGGAGGCAGAAGCAGGTGGATTTCTGAGTTTGAGGTCAGTCAGCCTGGTTTACAGAGTAAGTTCCAGGACAGCCAGGGCTGTACAGAGAAATCAAAACAAACAAACAAGAAGGAGGATTTGTGTCTAACCAATCTGGGTTTGAGTCCTGACAGTAGTACTTAGCTGTGTTATGGTAGGTAAAGCTCCATCATCCTGTCTCATGCATAAGAGGTTTGTAACAATTAGTAAATACAGTGTGAGCCTATGACATGCTTCTTAGAGTTTTAATACTGTGAAGAGACTACATGACCAAGGCAACTCTTACAAAGGACAACATTTAACTGGGGCTGGCTTAGTTTCAGAGGTTCAGTCCATTATCAGCACGCTCGGAAGCATGGCAGCATGCAGACAGGCATGGTGCTGGAGAAAGCTGAGAGTTCTACCTACTCCAACATGGCCACACCTCCTAATAGTGTCACTCCAGATGGGCCAAGCATTCAAACACATGAGTCTGTGGGGGCCATTTCTATTCAAGCCACCACAGTGTGGTAGTAATTACTAGAAAGTTACTGCTTAGAATTGAAATAAAATTTCTTTCTTTATTTATTTTTATAGAATCTGGAGGTGAACTGGATATTGTTGTAACCTCCAATAAAGAAGTGAAAGTGTCTGCTGTCCGAGATGCCTTCCAGGAGGTCTTTGGCTTGGCTGTGGTCGTTGGGGAAGCTGGACAGTCCAATATTGCCCCACAGCCAGTAGGGTATGCAGCTGGATTAAAGGTGAGTAATAAAAGCTATTCCGGAGTAACAGTCCTGCGGTCTGTGTGGAAGTACTGAATATTTATATACCGAAATACCAGCATTGTCGTTAGTTAGACAACACTGATGAAGATGTAAAAGAGTTTTAATAGAGTGGTTATTGGAAGAGGAAAGCAGTGTCTATCACACTGGTGAACACGCATCAGGAAAGCAGTCACATTAAGATACAAGAAGAGTAGATACTCTTGAAAGGAATCTTCATAATTTAGTATTGATTTTCAAGTCACTTACCGAAATTAAAATATCTGTTGGATCCCAGTATATCCTCTCCCTCCCCCTCCCCCTCTCTCTCCCTCTCTTTCTCTCTCTCTCTCTCTCTCTCTCTTTCTCTCTTCCTCTCTCTCTCTTATACACAACATACATGCAGATGCACACATACATGCATGAATTTGTGAACACACACACATACTCTCTGTCGTAGTTTCACAAGGACACAATCATGCAGGAACAAATGAAATTGATGGCACCTAAACATTTCCTATCGTAAAGCAAGTGAAGGGAAATCCAGAAAATTCTTTGACTTCACTTCCCCTGTATCTTTCTAGCATGCTGTTTTCTTTTGCAGCAAAACTGCAAGAATTCTGAACATTTTTCTCTAACTCTCTGGTTTCCCAGCTGCTTAGCCACATGTCTGCACTCACAGCCCCTTGGCTGACTGTTTTAATTGCTTGTGGGCCGGTGGCCGTCCTCTCTGTTGTCTAGATGGACTCCCTGTAGCCAGGCTGGCCTCAGACTCACTGTGGCATCTCACTGGCCTTGAACTCCTGGTCCCACTTCTCCCTCCGGAGTCCTGTGTTATAGGTGTGCACTGCTGTGCTTGACTTACACTTCTGTCCTTCATCTCCCCTGTGGCTTCTTGGGTGCACACCTGGCTTTCTTTGAGTTCGTTGATTGTGCTCTGCTTTTGTGCTTCCTGTGCTGGCTCCTCCTTTTTCCCCCACCTTCCTCTTGGTCTCTGTGTCCAGGCTCGCCTTTCCTGATCGCTTGCCATCCCTGGCCTTAGCCAGCATCTTGCAGCTTTATATTGCCACTGAGACTATTATGGTTTCTTAATTTACATGAAAATTGCCTTCTTGACAACATCACTTGAGTATCCCAAACTCACTCTGTCTACAGTGGAACTTCTCTTTCTTACACTCCCTCTCTACTCTTCCTCTCCATCATCGGCAGCCCCATCCATCCGGTTCTCAGAGGAGAAAAGCTGGCACCATCTGGAGAGTCTCCTCCTGCTTGTTTCTGTTCTGTCATTCATTCTTATTTGCCAGACAGACTTAAGGCTGCTGGGTTGTTTGTAAGGTTGCTACATACCCTCAGTGAATATGGTACTCTTCTTACCAAGGGGATAAAGGGTTAGATCTCTGAAAGCCCCTGGCCACAGTGCTTTCTTCTAGCCTGTCAACATAGACAGGCTATGCTTTTTTTTTTTTTCTAATGTCTGATTCTGTTTAGCTATAGCTCTATATGTACAAACAGATATTGGTACACACACACACACACACACACATGTAATTTATAATAAAGTCAAAGCCAGCATTCCTGTAACTCCGGATTGGATGTGGTTTATTTAGCACGTACATGTCTTTCTTCTGAAGTATTTCATAGCCATCCTGTACTGAGGAACATCAGACAGCATTTCGGCATTATCCTTGGGGCGGTTTGGAATGGTGGCATATTTTAACAACATAGTAATGTACAAGGTGGCGCCGAATATGGCAGCACCTACTTGTTTACAACATGCGAATTTAAACAAGAAGACAGGGGTATTTGTGACTTGGCTGGAGATGTACAGGACAGACAGCATAAATGTTTTAAGACGGATATTTGTGACTTGGCTGGAGATGTACAGGACAGACAGCATAAATGTTTTTGTATTTTTGTGCATCTCTGATGTTGAGATTACCAATATATTTTAATAAATAGTCAAATTCAGCAGTACAGATTCTAGAATTATTGAGGATCAACCATATTTACATTTTAAAACTTTGTCTAAAAGAACATGTAATGGTTCAATTCTACTGTCGCCTCATGAAGCAAGCATACAGATTTTTTCCTTGTATTCATTTAGAATTTATTAGAATGAGGGAAATTGGAGAAAAGTCTGGTGCATTGATTATAGTTAGTAATTAAATACAATCTCATGTTGACGCTAGATTATTTTAATTCTAATAGGTTCTGTTACACAAAATTCAGGTGTTTTTCAATTATAGTTAGAATTTATTTAAATAGGTGAATGGATCTCATTTGTTCTGTCTCTTCATTCTCTGAATTTGGGGCTGTCAGACAATAGTTACCTATATCTGAATGCAATGTGTTATTTGTAGTGTAAATCATATTACATTTTTTATTCACAGTGGTATGTGCTTCCACAGAACATTGTGCCCAACCACTTTACTTTACATGTGTCTGGTCGTACTTTATGAGTGTCCTTTGATTTTGACACTAGTGTACATTTATAAAAAGGTCTGTATCCCATATAGTAAAGCTAATAGTTATCTTTAGGGCTTGTGACCCATCTAATCTAGAAATGAAAAGTGATAAACTGGAGAAAATAGATATGTAGCCATCATAATTGTAAACCTTCAGATAAACCATGAGTATTATATGGATGAGTTCAATTTGAAAGGTGCGGACAAATCTCTTGCCTGAACTGAGTATCTGCTTGTCAAGATTTCAAAATTGCTTTTGCAAATGAGAATTTGTAGATTTGGGCCAAAAGACATCAGGACTTTTAAAATAGAAGTAGTATATTTGACATTAGAGACTTAAGGAATGGCTCTAATACAAATAGGATTCGGTGCTGGCATTACTTTGTGACAGAGTGGCAAGTGGCTTTATAGATTCCCTCACAGTGGTTAGCTGTCTCTGGGAGGTCAGAGCTTACCTATGGATGCTGGGTGGGACATGCTCAGAAAGACAGCAGTCCTCAGGTGTAAGTCTGTCTCTGGAAACTTGAGAAAGGGGCCACTGTGTGACATTTGAGAGGGTGGTATTAGTTATGAAGTGAAGTAGAAAAGGAATAACTACCTCCCCACATGGAGTCTGCTTTTCACTATAGTGTCTAAGTGCTAGGTCTGAGTACTTTATAAGGTCAGATACCACTGCACAGTAGTATTTGCAGTAGGTAGGCATTGTATGTGAGAGGCTGATGTGGGTTTTTCCCTAAGAAAAACCTTGACAGATGGATTGGTGGTTCAGTTTATCCTGGGATTTTATTTGCATTTGACCCAATTTAGTTTGGCTATTGTTTTACAAATTTAGATGTGGATTATTTTTACAACTTTTAGTATAGGCTCCAAATGGAAATACTTACAAATATGTGATCTGCCCCCCACCACAAAAAAAGTAGAGGGAGCCATATGAGACAAAACGTGTTGACTCTTAAGTTGAACTGTTCCTTATAAAACTTTTAACTACCCTACTAGATTTTATCTGGTATCAGCAACTTTCTAAAGTTAACTTTTCTTTAATATACATTACTATTTAAGACAGTAAATTCAACAGAAATTAAGTTAGCAAGCTTCTGAAGCTTCTGTGCCAGTCATTATTCTTATTGCAAAGCTTGGAATGAACAAATCTCAATGTGGATAATAACATCAGTGGGCATGGAGACCATGTCCAAAATGCCAGTGAGCTTTGTGACAATGTGTGCAGTGCCAGTGAGCCTTGTGACAATGTGTGCAGTGCCAGTGAACCTTGTGATGTTTGCATGCCAGTGAGCCTTGTGACGATGTGTGCAGTGCCAGTGAGCCTTGTGAGGATGTGTGCAGTGCCAGTGAGCCTTGTGAGGATGTGTGCAGTGCCAGTGAGCCTTGTGAGGATGTGTGCAGTGCCAGTGAGCCTTGTGACAATGTGTGCAATGCCAGTGAGCCCTGTGATGATGTGTGCATTGCCAGTGAGCCTTGTGACCATGTGCACACCAGTGAACGTTGTGCCCATGTGTGCAATCAAATTGTCTGTCTGAACCAGGTTGCTTGAGATATAGCATAAGTCCTGAGCTCTTCTGCCTCAGCTGAGCTGGAGATTATTCGTGTGCCTCAAAACTGTCTTAATTGTGGATCCCTCATACTGATAAGAGTAGAAGTCCCTTCTCAAAACATTGGTAGGGAATGATATTCAAACGTCTTAAAATTAATTAACATACTAGTCAGTGGAAGAGAGGCTGGAGATAGCTCCCTTTCACTTTCGTTTGTGAAATAAACAAACAAAACTTGTCCTCTAGCTGATTATCCTTCCCCTGATGGGTACCGGTTGTCTGTGTTACCACCTAAATCCCATGAAGTATGAAGTCTTGTGTTGTAGGATGGTAAAGTTAAACAGACATGTCTGTGTTCCCTGGAAGCACGACATGTGGAATGCTTTGTAAGGCGTACCTCAGAGGCACGTCCAAAGGTCAGAGAGGTGGCCCTGAGCAGCCTAATAGGTTGTTTTTTACTGAAATAAAATCTCAGCTCCTTTTTAATCCAGGTGTGGGAGGACTGAGTTAGGTACACTTGCAGCGTCCATTGTAAAGGATTAAAGCATCTGTATTCTTTCAGAATCAGCAGGCACCTACTGTTTCAGTGTTAGGAGATTGATGAGACCGTACTTACACTGTTTATACACTGGCTTTTCCTGTTGTTTGGTTTGTCATGTGGCAAGGTCTTACTGAAAACTTGTTTCCTCATGCCTAATGCTGGGTGTAGGAGATAGAATTGGTCAGAAATTGACAGCTGACATTGAGTCTGCTGTAGAATCCTATTAGACTTCTTCTTCCCAAGCTTGAGTCTTAGGCTGTTGAGCCCATTCTCATGGAGTTGACACTTCTCTGTTTCATTTGTCTCTTAACCATTGAGTGAATAGAAATTAAGTACTTGGTCCCTTCCTCCCTCCTTCCCTCCCTCTCTCCCTCCTTCCCTCTTTCCTTCCCTCTTTCCCTTTTTTCTTCCTTTCTTCTTCTTTCCTCCCTTCTTCCTTCATTCCTTTCTGTCTTTCTTTCTCTTAACTCTTCTGTCCTTAAAAATAAGCTTTTTCTTGTCTAGTTTTTTTTTTTCTTAATTGTGTGTGTGTAGGTGTCATGTACAGCATACACACTCTCATAATCTGGCTTTAGCTTCTCTACTCTCTCTCTCTCTCTCTCTCTATATATATATATATATATATATATGTATATGTATGTGTGTGTGTGTATATGTATGTATGTATATATGTGTGTGTGTGTGTGTGTGTGTGTGTGTGTGTGTGTGTGTGTGTGTGT